ATATATATGCTTAAGAAAAAAAAAAAAAAAATACACGAAGTTCCTCGATGTAATGCGCGCGTCTTACACGGGATAACATTGTAGGAGTGGTGAGAGCATTGACGTAAAGTTTCGGGCTTGTTATCGTCTAGAATCACACAATTCGATCGCGTTCCGGGCGCTCGTCCCGTTGGAGAAAGACGTCGGCGCGAACTCTTGCAGTAGCGAGATCTTGATGCAACCGGCGGGGCGCGGCGTCGCTTCAATTACGGATGTATATCACTTGTCCCGTGAAGGCGGCCTTAACACGCACAGAAAATTTTGCGAGTGTCACGAATTAGATTCGAAAGGATCGTCGTCAAGTCTGTTAATTTGTACAATTAGCTGACATTTATAAGCGTAGGCTGCATAAAGCACACAAAAACGAGGTAAATAAAATGCATTTGCAGACGTTAATGAATAATTTTCAATCTCTCCTCGTTCGTTCCGACAATTCTCTTAATTTTTACATCGGATATTAAAATGAGAGATTCAAAGATTTAGAGAAGCGTATCCTTTTGTCAATTCCAGTTCTCTTTAAAAAATATCGATACGTATCGGAAAGAAAAAATCGTTTGCAAATTAAGCTTCGGAAATTAGAACCAGTAATCAAGACTCATCCTATATTTAATTTCAAGTGAATTTTACCGTAATAAAATGTATCCTTAAGGTATGAAATTAAAAGTGACTAAAAAAAAAGAATATTCTTCGGATTCGTCTTCCCCCTCCTAAGTCTCTTCGTCAAAGAGACGATCGAAGAAGATTCCCCGTCTTCGGAAAATTTCCTGAGTTTCCGACGTTGCCGCGAAAGGACACTGGGAAGGACGATGGGAAATAACGTACTCGATAACTGCCATAATTGCGACAGATTCCTCATCGAATGCGGCCAGTTCGATATCCCTGGCGAGGCGGTCGAGCTGCTGCTGCGGCAAGGGCGTGGAAGGATGCATGTTGCGCCAGGTGTGCAACGCGATTACCTCCCCGTTAAGTGCGCATGGCATGCTCGACGCCTGTAATTATAGAAACGCCAGCGATATTTAAATTATTTGCAAATACAAGTTTATGCGGGAGCTTTGCGAATACTGGATTAACGGCCCTCCCTCCTAGGATTGAAAACTTACATTTATACCAAGGGCAAGCGTCAAGCGTCGCTCTTAGCTTTTTCTCGAGTTAAGAAGTCGTCTTGGAAATATTTACGTAAAGACAGAACTGAGTACTAAGTGCTTACATTTTATCTTCTCTACATAATAGTCTCTATAATTTTATATCCGTGTTATATCTTTTGTGAGAGTATAAATAAGTTTTCATTCTAGAGTTTACGCACAAAATGCACTTTCCTTTTAATCTTCAGGTTTAATCGATATTCGCGAGAATTATTCCCAAATTGATTTCTCTCTACTCGAAAACAGGGAGAGCTGCCGAGAAATCAATGATATTACAGCGCACGTATCTGGATCAATGGCGTTTTACGCCAGCCGACATTTACCGCGAGAACAAAAGCGCACGTACTTCGCTGTTATTCGTTGGTATTAACGTTTCCGCGACAGTGTTTCTCGCCCGACGAGTAGGCGCGAACTCGGTTATCGAGCTTCTCTCGTAACGTTTGCGAAGGTCGAACGGCGTCGTGTCCGCCTCGAGATAATCGGAAGCGAGTGACGGGACGTCGTTCGAAAATCGATGCGGGCTTGTAATTTTTACCTTACGCCGTCTAACAAGACTTTGAATTGTTCATCCTTCTAGATAGCCTCGTTTTACATGAGGACGTGAGAAAGTCCATCGAATCGAATTTCTTAACAAAGACACTCTTTAGGAAATCTCATCTATTCTGGCGATCTTTCCTTTATTGGCAGATTCTTTCTATTGCTGTTTGCACGGCGTAATCAGAGACAAGTACACGGTAAAATAAAAATTTCAAGAAACGTAAACATGTGTCTCGGAATTGTGCGGAAATTGTAGGCGGTAATGCTATCAAAGTGCAACAGAGCGTTAAAGATGGTCCCGGGACGAGGGCATTTAATGCTTGCAAGGATGCTTGCCAAAAAGTTGGCGATAGCGCTATCGTTACTTTAAAGAGACTTTGCGGTTCTTTTTTTTTATGATAAGTTCTACGACTAGTCTCGCATTAACAATCCAATATTTTTTTTTCGCTATCGTAAGAAATAATATTACGTATAGTCGGTGGCTTCGAAAGATATACATCTTGCAACTTTGATATTAAAATCGTACTTTTTTACAAAATGAAAACATTATTAATTATAGAAGAATGAAAATTATTCTCATTCAATGTCGATCGACCTTGTAACACATCGTACGCGAACATCGGAGGATTAACACGGATAGTTAAGCGCCACGCGTGATTTCTTCCACCCGTCGTTCTCGGTTTTACCGGTCATAAAAGCGGTTATGCGTTCGAGCGGAAAACTTCGGTCCCCGTCGGCGTCGGTTCATTTCAGGGAGCCGTGTCACAATAGTGTAACTATTGTTACAACGCCTCGCGGCGATATCCGATCCGCTGGAGAATAGGTGCTATAACGCGGCGAGAGAGGAGAGGAGAGGAGAGGAGAGGGACGTTCTTGCTCTCGGGATAGTAGCTGCTGGCTGACCCTACACCGCCGTCTCTCACGTGTGACCTGTTCCATAAATAAATATAGAAACGGATAGAGAAATGCGCGGTCTCGTTAACGGCGTGCTTCGGTATAACGAACACTGGCCTTAATTAGTTTGTTAATACGCCCAGACGACTCACACGTTTTATCAGTATACGTGATTCTGGAAAATCGCGCTAACAAAGTTACCTTAAGACGTTGCAAGCCGATCTCGAGAACTTTGTCTCTGATTTAGGACAAGCTGTCAAAAGAATCGGGCAAAATTATTTAACGCAGTTAAAACAAGAACAAGCGATGTCATCTTATATCATTTTGACAACAGAGAGAGAAGCAAATTGACATGTAATATGAATAAATATTGATCGCTGGACTTGAATCTTTAAATTTAATCGCTAAAAGTCTCGGTACACGATTATACAATGAAAAAGGAAACTATGGCAGTCATTCATGCATTAACGTAAAAGCACTTTTAGCATTTATCGTATCCGAGGCACCACGCGGTATTACAGAAACGGCCATAATGCCGTTTAAAATAATAGTGACAGTGACAGCTACGGGTTGCCACGTGCAGATAACTGCATGGCGCGCGCGTGTCGGCATTCATCGCGGACAATGCGAGGGATCTTTCAAAAGAGATCTACTTCGCGCATCCATATATACGTACGGACGGTGGATGATGAGTATTAAAATCGCTTACGTCACTCTGTCCGCGATGTTCTCCGTTAAGTGGATAGGTAGGCCGCTCGCGATTATTCGCTGCCAGGATGCGTGTCTAATAATACGTAATGCACAATGCTCGCCGTATCGCGCGATCGGACGTTCAAGTTCTTCGGCTCCCACGTGCTGGGAATATTGCGCGCGAAATATCATAGTTCTTGCGTATAAAAATAAATAAATATACAATTACTCGCGAAGTTGATCAAATATATCTTGAACATTCTATGAAATATTTAATATAAGAAGACAAAAGAGTAAACAAAATAAATTTGCGTGTGCTTCTGTGTGTGTCTCTCTCTCTTTTTAATATGTGAAAAAGATATAAAAAGTAACGTGGAAGAGAAAAATTATCATTTTTTTATATTTTCGCGACGTTCTAGCGTATATAAAGCCGATCGCGATTGAGCTTCGTAAAGATATTTATCCCGATAAGGATCTGTAAAAATGCACCGGCTCGCGGAAAATGTAAAAATAATGTTTCAACCACGTGTAATAATGTAAACACTTTTATCGGCTATCGATTTCGGTCGACCTGCGCCGCTTCTTTTATTACGGGCGTATATATCGGGATACGTGATCCGAGATAGATTGCGGCTAACTAAGTCTAAGTCGCGCGGTATTAACAAAAGTCTCTCTCTCTCTCTCTCTCTCTCATTCTTTCGATCCTTTCCACGATCCTTTTGACTTTTACGAGATCGCGTATCTTCAGGAGATGCGCTCTCGCGGTGTTTCGCGCCCGAAATGACAATGCACTATTCACACGAGGACAAACGCACGTTCGCGCGCGTAAAACATATTAAAGACTAAATGGAAAAGAATAGCAGAAGATCGTGATCCACTTATATACATCAATCTACTTATTACGAGGCGTTACAGAGCCAGCCGTCGTTACGGCTGTCCCGGCCGCTACATAGTTGAACTATAAATAAATTTTCCGATACGCTGCTCTTTTTGCCGATAAAAAAAAATATATATATATATATACATATATATACATACACATTCTTTCCTTGCACGCGCGTAAACGCGCGCGTAAATTGCGCCGTGCATATTTTTACGGGCCGTCCCCGATCATGCACGACTGTCGTTAACGTCAACCGATCTCCGGATGTAAAAAGTTCTTCTTCGAGGACATGCGCGCGGAAACCACGTTTCGAAAATCGAAGTCTATCGGATAGCATAGCGAGAGCGCCGTTAATAACCTTTGATATTTCATTAATGAAGAACACTTCTTTGTTCCCCGCTCGCGGAAAGGTTACGGAGGTACGTAATAATAAAGCACTACTTGTCGGACGCGCTAAACATTTGTCTCCTCCTCGAATGAAAGAGAGCGAAAAAAGTTGTATGTACTATTAACAGATATAATAAAATTTATCGCGGCCTATATTTGCGTTCTCTTTAACTTTAACGAAAAACATTCCGCTTCCAAAATTCAATTAATATTTGATTGTGCTAATGTAAACAGTCATATTGATTATAATATGAATTTAGCAAATGGAAAATAAATTGGGCGGAGGCTTTGGCGTAATCATACAGTCGTGCATCAAAAATATATCGTTTTATATCGTTCTATATCAAGAGATATGCAGAATTAAAAGTAAAAAGAATGATTCCGATTAGGGAAAGGAATCGCGTATCAATCGTCGCGCATGCCTCCCCATTTTCCCAGGATGAAACAGGTGGCACTCGCTATTACCGCTGCGGCTTTTATTACATTTTGCTCGCTAGTAGACATAAATGGGACATGTCGATTGAATTACTTCTAACGCGCGCCATACCTGACGATGAGGTGGACTATATATCGGCGATAGCTATAGCGGCAGTAGCTAGGTCGGGGATGTCTCTTAAGAGAAAACGGTAGATGTATGTACAACCTAATTTGGTACAGGAGTATAACACATGGTCGCCGGCCAGGTATTTCTCGTCGATATACACGGTGCATCGGAGAAACGCCCGGTTGCGATCTACTTCTCCGTAGATGAGAATTTTGAATTGGCTTTTCTCTTTACCGCAAGACTTTGAAGAACGTTTATCCGATAACGTTTTCATACATGATGCGAAAAGATTGTAAAGACGATCAAAATAAATAAATAAAAAAAATTTTGAATGTATTAAAAAATAGACGGTATGCAATAAGAAATGCGTTATAAAGATAGAACTAGAAAATGAGAGCTGATAGCGAATGCTGGAGATAAGAAATATAAAGTTCGTCTAATCTTAAATCCGAGCAAGTTCTCGATAAAAACAGATCAACTCTGAAGCTCTTCAGAATCCGCGATTGCGAGAAAGTGCGCGATTTCTGATACACCCTTTATAGTATCGCGCCAAAGCCTCGCCTTCACATCAAAGAAGAACGAAGCAAACACCTTCGGGACGCGTAGAATCGAGGTCGGAGCATTATTCTTTCTCTCTTTCGAAATACTGCAGAAGACCGACGAACTTCCCGCGTTTCTATTTCCTGATGGAATATCACGTATAGCGAGCGATTCGCCGAGCAGTCGCGATTAAAATACATGTCCGTTCATCCCTCCGTCAACGTGGTTTAAAAAATAGCGTTAATAGATTTTTTTAGAACATCATAAAACCAAATAAAAAAATATTTGCCTCGAATATGAAATGTATACAAATACCGCAATTTTTTTTTTTTTTTGATGCAAACATATTTTCGGAAATTATATTTTTTTTCGAACTACCCTATCACAGATTACGCTGTGCAAGCAATAGAAAGATTTAGCTGATCTGAAGCTAACGAAATATTTTGCTTTTCGATAAGGCGAAAATTGCATAGAGAATATTATCATTATCGCTGGAAGCTGTCATACTCAGCTGAAAGGCGGGACAGGCGACAGATTGTTATCGTGGATTATAATAGGTCTGTTCTCTCCTCGGCTGCCACTTTCCGCACTTGTCTACACTCGTCTTTCTCTCTTTTTTCCCCTCTCACGTTTCTCTCTGCCAAGCGTAAACTACAACCGTTTCACTTAGAGTGAAGAAAGTGTAATAAAGTGCAGCTGAAAAGAAAGGACCTAATGCGAGGTCGGGCCGAGGGAATTCAAAGCTTTCGTGCGATGTGACCGGAACTGCAATTGCAGTCTGACATCACGCGAAATGTCGCATCCTCCGATTCGATCTTCGCATTGCGATTCCTGGATATAGTATCTCTCTGTTGTTTTTTAATTTCTAAAAGATATCGATATATTTATCTACTCGGTATCGAATGTCACAATTAATTACAAAATGTTTTCCTGAAAATATCGACGTTCGTTAATAATCGAAAATAATAATCAAAATATTTTTGAGCAATGAAGAAAAAGAATACGAATAATTAATACGGTATCATAAATAGATACAAAATTATCGTTCGCGTTTTCTTGATGTCTAAAAAAAAATTTGGTATTTCGAAGTCAAAGTATCGGACAAAATTGGCAAATTTTGCCAGCGTTTCGAGACAAAAGTGACATAACGGCGACTATATACGATAAAAGCGCTATAATAATCTTACGTAAAGCCGGAAGTGTGCGCATCGTGATACCGATCGCGAGTCACGAATTACAAGCGGAAGCGCAACTCCGCCCACGATAAGGTAAACGTCGCGAATGTGTGTGCTTGCTTCGAGAAATTATTTCCTTTCTTATGCATACAATGTGTGCAATCGGCTCGCTCATGATATTCGATACCGAATGAGATCAAAATTATCGATACGCATTGTTTTTAATCCCGTTTCGCTATTACAATCGTATCTAAATCACATTTGCATTTTTTTTTTCAATAGCTTTATGACACACAATTGCAATAATTTTTTTTAAAAGATTTAAAGATTTAATCTTTCGTTTTCAATTTCCATTATGAATACGAATGACACAAACACGAATTAAACGAAAAAAAATATAATTACCCTTATGCAATTGCCACAACTTGCCAGAAAATACAAGTGTATAATACGATTGCAATTAAATATGATGACACACAAGAATAGAAGTTTTAGAATTAAATATTCTCGGCTAAAAAAATCCGCCGTATATCCATTAATTTATTATTTTATACATGCAATATCTCGCTCGATTGTGTACATAAATGCCCCGCTCCCCTCCGGCTCCCCCCCCCCCACATACACTCGTACACGACAGACACAAACCTGTAAGTCGACACACGTACACGCGCACAGCCGCAGAAAAATAGCGACTCGGGTGCACGTTGTTTTAATGAAAAACGATATCCTCCGCTCCTTCGTCGGTTATTCTCGAATCCCTCGCATACTGAAAAACTCTCACGTACCATGCCCCTCGTCAATAACGCGGAAAAATCTCGCGTGCATTTTTATAGATAAACAACCGACGCGACTTATTGCATCCGCGGAAACGAGGCGATTTCAATATTCCCGTGTCGTCGATTGTGTAATAGATTAACGAAAAGATCGCGCCATCTCTTTTGTAAGCGAATCTCTTCGACACGAATTAAGATACGACGATTACAGCAAACGGATGTTGTGACGGAAACTTAGTTGCGAGTTTGCGGCAAAGTCAAAATTGATTAAATGTACCTAAGGTAAAGTAAGCGCAAGGTAGTTAAAGCGCAGACGATTATAATGCACGCGACTGTATCTGTATTGCGTGTGATCTATCGATTTCAACGTATTCTCTAAGAAAATCATGAATGTAGAGAATTATTCTCATGCAAGTATCTAGATGAATGGATGATTACTTTCAAACAATTGGCGTGGCCGAGATCTTACTTTGAGTCAATGTGCTTCTCTTCTTGTTTTCAACGACGTAACACCTTTAAAAAAAATTACCATAAACGACCGCGTCTGTTTATTTCGTTTCCATCATCGATGGATCTTTAAATCAAAATCCGTTCGCGCACTAAGACGAATAAGTTGAGAAAGAGAGGTTCACTCTCCTCATTGCGAATCTCGCGGCACATCTAAGGGACGATTCTTAGAAAGCACTGCCGCGCGAAAAAAACATTCTCCGAACCGAGAGAAGTACTCGATCGCGACCCCGCACTCCTACAAGTCACTTACTCGACTTACCACGACACGCACACGCTCCGATTCCGAATTGATTTCATCCGAGGATACGCACCCGCCGTAAATGCGTTATTTAAGGTTCTCGGCCCGAGCCGAGCCGAGCGAGAGACGCGACGCGACGCGACGGGACGTGACGCGACTAGAGCCAGGTAGCCCCGAGAAAGTAAACCACCCCGAGGAAAAGTAGGGTGGCTCATCCGGCGGCGTGCTCGTTTATCGTACCCGCCCAACACGAGCGAGACCGATCTCGGGGCTACGAGAGATCCGAGACGCCGGCCGATAATCACGACGATGGAATAACGAATAGAGAAAGGGAGAGATAAAGGGAAAAGAGATGCATGCATGCACGCACGCACGCACGCACACGCACACAGAGAGAAAGAGAAAGAGAGAGCCGCCACCTTCTACACCTCCGAGTTATACTCGCCCGTGTCGAGTGCGTCACGCATCCTCTATCGGTGTTCCTGGAGCGAGGCGGCGGCGGCGGCGATGCGCGAACGAGACGAGACGAGGCGAGGTGATGCGATACGATACGATACGAGACGAGATGAGACGAGGCGAGGACCGATCCTCCCTCTTCGAGAGCGACCACCCCTCGTCGGCGCGGTTGTGAGCGGCCGCCACGGGATCCTTCTCTCTCGCGAGTCGCGCGCGCGTTGCAAGCTCCGTTTTTCCGCCGTGCGTCTCGGCCGGAGGATTGCGCGGGGGTTGATGGCAATGACGGTGGTGGCGGGGGGAGGGCGGATAAGAGAAGGCGCTCTCGCACTCACATGTCTGTCGTGTGTAATCGGCGCGCGCGCGGCGTGCCCCCGTATCACCGACGATGGGATTCGCGCGAGGACGAGCACCGGTCCGGGCGCGCGGTCATCGCGAGGACGATGTCGAGAAAGGCCCTCTCGCTATTTCTCGCCGGCGAGGATCGCTGCTGATGCTGGCTGCTGCTCCGCTTCGTGCGATCGACGGCGACAGCCCGTCGTCGGTGCGACGATTTATCTTGCGGTACGCGTGGAACCCGTTAGGCTGTCGCCGACCGACTGACAGCCGTGTATACAGGTACACGCATGGTTTAACGCAGTCCGACACGCTTGGGGCGGGATGCGGCGTGCATTCACGCGTGCTTTAGACGAAAGAAAGAAAGAAAACAGTTGGATAGGGGTGGCGAGACGAAAGGATAGATGAGATCCAGTGAAAGAGATCAAAATCTCGCTCAGAGAACGTGAGAAGAAAAGGGGAAAAAGGAAGAGAAAGGTACGATAGAGATAGGAATGAGAGGAGAGGATGCGCGTAAGAGGAGCCGCGTTAAACACGGAGGGTTGCTCCACATGTAAATCGCGAGCTCGCCGATGATGCTGGCGCGGGATCGGAGTAAAGACTGACTGCGATGGTAGTAGTGATGATGGTGGTGGTGGACCGAGAGCGCTTCTCGAACAAGGGTGGTAATTTAACCCTGTTTTCTCTCTCTCTCTCTCTCTCTTTTGGGCGGTTTTGCCCGACTAACTTGGTCGAGGGATACAAGAGAGAAGTAAACCAAAAGGATGAGAAAGAGAGAAAATCAAATAGAGGAACGAAGAAAGAATGATGGGATAAACTTGTGTGCGTGTGAAAAAAAGGAGAGAGAGAGAGAGAAAGAGCGATATTAGAAATACAGGAGGGAGATGGGAAGATTTGGAAGGAGAGAGGGACAAGTAAGTGTGCGTATACGTACCTAACTCAATGTACGCTTGTGCACGCTATGCGAGTGAGAAAGAGAGGGGGGAGCATGAGAGAAATAGAGTGAGAGAGTGAGAGAGAGAGAAAGACAGAGAGAGGGAAACGACAAACGGCACTGCACTCCGACAACCTCCGCGCTGGGAGGCGCACTAAGGGCGTGGGCAATCCGTGAGCGAGCGAGCGAGCGAGCAAGCAGGTCGGTGCGAACGGCGGTGGACTACATTGATTTTGATTTTCGAAGGCGCGCGCATTTGGCGCTCTCTGGATCTGCCCATTCATGCCGCTCCCTAGTTACCGAGGACATTGGTCCTGTCCTCTGTCCGAATTCGGGCTACCGCGAAAGAGGGATCTTTCGTGAGTTTGTTATACGAACGCGAATAGAAATCGCGCAATTGTCAATTAATTTTAGCACAATTCCGATATTGTAGTATTAATTCTTAAACATTTAAATTGCTTGTAGAATGATGTTGCTTGTCATGCCGCAAAACACTGTCGGTTCTTTTTATGAGAAGACTGACTGGTTTATCGGCCCGCTTTTTTATAAGGAAATATTTTATAAGGAAAGATGTGGAATTTTTAACGACTATGCACGCAGTTATAATCATTTGCATGATGATGTAACTGATGAAGTCGAAATGTTGTAATTTGAAGGAATAAGGCTCGATATATCGGTCGTTCTCATACGGAAAGAACAGATTAGATTATCATTCACTATCTTATGATTTATTAGACATAACATCTAATAATAGATAGATATACTTAATAATTAGAGAAGTCACTTGTAATGTCGCACGATACATCGCAGCGATATTAATTTCAAGTTTTACACACGAGACGGTATCAATTATACGAAGAGAGAACAGAGTAAACTGTGCATACCAGGACACACTTCTTTCCCACTGCGTAAATTCGTCAATGATGCCAGAGAAACTAAGCGTTCGCACAATTTTGTGATTGCGCAGAATTTTCATTGTTCTACTTAGCAATAAATAAATCTTCTTTAGGGCGAATTTCAATCACATAAAATATCCGAAACCGAAGGTACGTTTTATGGCGTCCCAGTAATACCTATCCCAATTTTCCTTCGTAGAAGCCTCCTCGCTAAAAATAGTGATATTTTTGCGTCATACATAGTAATTTCTTATTGATCAACGATACAGAGGAATAGTACCGAAAAATGTTTATATTTACCTAAGTGGAACACCAATTTGCGTTAAGATGACTTCGGTGTGATCGTTCTTCTCGCAGATATCGATTGTTACGTTACTAAAATGTCCGGACGGCCATTGTTTACAACGCCATTTTTGGACAATCTTGGTCGGTGTAATTTCCACAAATTCGCCGTGAATATTACCACCGAAAAGCTCGAATTGACCATTTTTCTTTGCCTCTAATTTCGCTGGGTTTCTCGTAAAGGCTTGTACCATCTATAAAAATTAAAGACCCTATTGCAATTGTCTGTGTGATTTAGTTTAAGCAATGAGTCTATCATAAGATAATAATTAGGTAATTTGCAATTATTACTTCAATCGATGAGAGGACATTGTAAAACTCTTCCGCCCTGCATTGGAACTTAATATTTTGCTTAATTGTAGTTGTCGAGATTTTACATCCTACTGCTTCATGATCGTTTGTTTGTGTCACCGTAGTATTCATCTGCATCTAAAAAGAGAACCAAAAATTGTTAGTTGCATTTTATTTCTTTACATTGCAAACATATCTTGTAATTACCTTAACATTAAAACCAGATGTTATATTTGAGATATTTTCTTTTACATTATCTTTTTTGGGAAGTATCATTCCTTTCGTAAATTCTATAAAAGAAATAGAGATTATATATATAAATGCTTTTAAATATAATGGTTGTTTTACATTACAAAAATTAAAAGAAATTATCTTTAAAAAATTATTATCTTACCTTCTTTTAGAGAAGATACATATTTTGTCAATTTTTCTCTTATTGCATCCTTCCCCTTTGTATGCAAAAATTGTTTTACTTTTTCTCCTTCATCTGTACTATCTTTTAATGTAACTTCAATCTATAAATTACAAAACATGCATCAATATAATTTCAATTTAATGAATTTTATATATATGCACAATTTAATAAAAAATATTTACATCTACTTCGCTGATGTCATTTTCTTCAGAAAGATTAGGGATATTAATTTTACCCTCAATTGTCCCATCTGATTTATCTTTTGATGTCCATTTAAGCACAATATTCCATTCATAAAAGAAAATAAGTTTTCCTTTTCTATTATTTGCTACTGCCTCACCTTCACATTTTTCCATTTCTGTTATTTTACACAAAACTGCAAATTAAATAATATTTATGAAATATATATGTATTATTCTAAATCTTCTTTGCAACAATTTACATATACAAACATATACTACTCAACTACAAATATATACCTCCATCTCCTTTGATTTCTGAATTTACAAAAAGTTCTTTCAGCTTTTCTTGTGACCATTTAAACTTTAAAAGACATAATATTCTCTTAACAAGATACTGTTACAGTGAACAGAACTTTGAGATATTGATGACTTAAAAATATATTCTAATTATCGCAAAGTATAATTATTTTTACCAACATACCAATGCCAATTATTCACATTAGTTGCATCAGGCCTCTCTTCCACGATCCAGCGTGGATCACCTTCGCCCCATTTTGCCATGCTTCTAAGTGGTACTTGAAGATGCACCAAGAACACCGATTCTAGAAATCAACGAAAATTTCAAATTTATAATACCAATTAGAATAATGAACCGTGGATCTCTTATAAAAAAACTTTAATTGACTACAAGAAAATTTACATAGATATAACATAACCTATGATTTAAATAATGACGAAGCGATTTGTTTTTTTACAATATTTAGTAACGAACGAGTTTGAGATTTCTGATAAATACGAATTGTTTAAAATTGAGTTACAAACTATTGCCAGGAAAGAACTTCAAGAGTATGACCGTCCGGTCGCGGTTTCGTGACAGCTCACTTCACACGTTTCGAATGTTGTCTCGTATACGTTTCGACACGACACTTCGCCGAAGAATTTATCGAATAACAATGACACAATACGTTATCAAGTTAATAATTTCATTGATGATGCTGGTACCTTTGCGAACTGCTTCGAAACGTTGAAACTTTCGTAAAGCAAATTCAACGCGTGAATCAATGTGTAAAGCGTTCTAAATTCCAAAGCATTCTCAAGAATTCTGGAAACTTCAGGCACAAAGTACGCGATGATATTAAGATGGTGCGTCTCACATGCGGTTTCTGATGGGACCATTGCAAATGGCAATGGAAAGTTACTACGCGTCTAGTAACTTTTCACCGCGGACAAAATCCGCCGTTTGCAATGGTCCGATTAGAAACCTCGTGTGAGCGCGACATCTTGATATTATCTCACCCATGCTTGAGATATTCAAAATGTTTTAGAACGCGCGCTCTTCGGTCCGTACGCTGAATCCGCTGCAATAGTTTCGAGATTTCGGAGTTACATAAAATATGTAAGTTTCACAAATAAGGAGCCTCTTTATTGCTTACTTGCAGACAATATTTATTCTAACTAAATTTCATGAATATATTTAATAATGCTTACGGTGTTATCGGGCAGAGCTCACTTGACCAAATTATCACACGTTCGCACCATCTCAACGCGATATATATTGTATAATATAAAATCGTCCGATAGTTTTTTCAATGCTACACGCTTATTTGCAGACAATATTTATTTTCGATGTCTTAGTTTCTCGGTAAAATTATTAATAATGCTAGGAATTATGGTATAGTCGTGCGAATTTTACGAAATACACGTTTGCATTATCGACGCAATATACTGCTTATTAATACGACGAGATATTTAGAAATGCTAGCATATTACAATCACACACGTGTAGCATTTAAATTATTAGATATCAAAGAAAAGATATCGAAGAAAATAAAGAAATCTTATTATTTTCGTCAAATTATTTATTACGCATTATAAATAAAATTATAGTTGTCTTTGTCATGGCAAACGTTTCGTTCTCCGAACGATCGGGCTCGTGATATATTTATATATATAAGGAGTGTCTTTACAATAATAGTACTTAATCATCTCGGAATGCGTTAAAGATCGGCGCTTAATCACGAAAAAATTAAAGCCTTAATATCTGTAGCCCTCGTCCTGTCCTCCAGGTGCAGGTGCAGGATAAGACGCGGTTCCTTCATATCGTATCATCGGCCGATATCCGGCCTGATCGGCGATGTAGTCGACAATCTGGGTCCTACCGTCCGGCAGTAGCACGTGATAAGTACCAGTGGCTTCCATGTCTTTCCTCATCTCGCGATGACCAAAGTCCAGACCTGCCGCCGCGTCTTGAACCTCATACGAGAACTCGTAATTTGCCGGATCCTATATCAATTTTATTAAGAGTTCAGGTAAGTGTCATAAAAATTATACTTCAGGAATAAAAAAAAAGTATCGATGCTCGATTAATTTCTGATGATAAAAGATTGTCGTGTCTATTTTTTTTATAATTAAGAATTTTTTCCTGTCCGTAGATACCGTAATACATACTTACACCGGCCCAATCGTCCGGATGACCAGTCCCCCCTCCTCCTGCAGCTGGTCGAGAGCTGGGCGGAAGATAGGCTGGGCCTTGCGGTTCATTCCGAACTCCTACCAAGACCATCGCTAAAAGTACCGCCTGTTCGAAAGAAGAGATGGAAACTTGCACAGGTTTGACAAAATAAAAAAATCTGATATTAACGAACTAACGCGAAGTGCTGATTGTACATCACAGAGTACAAAAATAATTTTACGTTTCAATCTAATAAAATAACACGCTAATAAAAAATGGATCAAAAAGAACTGTTTAAATAGAATTTTAATAGAAATGAAAGCTAAAGCATCTCTCGTACATTCATTTATAGTATGTCATTGAATATTTAGAATTGTATGCATTTCAGAAATTTATTAAATGTTTTATAAATTTGTTTAATAAATTTTTTATTAATAGATTTTTTATATCTATATCGCATAAACGATATTTTGAAAGCAATTTTTAGTTATTGTTGATACAACTAACTATTATTGAGGGATAATTAAACGGAAAATTTTTTTCTTGCTATGTAACTCTTAACTTATTTACTGACTTGTGTAAAATCTTGGGCGAAATTTTAGCGAAATGTTTTAACGAGAAGCGTTTGTAACAAGTACCAACCTTCCGAATCATTAGCAATTCGGTGGAATTCTACGAGCGTCCGCAAAACTGAGATGACTCGACGCAAACGATTCGGTTTTATAGCGGCCAATTCGATCGTGACGGAGATGGAGATGGAAGATGCAATAGTTATTTCGAGAAGCTCTCTAATGCGATCGTATAACCTCTAATTACGGCTAATAATAAAACCGCAGATTTCTGGAGGCGCCCGCGGTTCTAATCATTCGTTCGGCATAATTGCAACAGTTCCTGATTCTGTGCAATGCTATTATATTGTATCGAGACGCCGCGTCTCTTCTTCTTGATTGAAATTCTAGGCTAATTCAATAACTGGGGACACCCATGTGTACACTATATCTCGGAATTAAATTATCCTTCAACTTAAAAAAATATAAAATTCTGAGCTATATTATATATATATATTTATTTTAGATATATTTTGGTTAAATTTGTTGTGAAAATCATGTTTGGAAATTTCCCACGACTGATTCGTTAATAGATTAGAGCAAGCATATAATTTACACGAGTCTCTTACTCAACACAATAAGTTAAATTAATAGTTCTTCTCTTTTCATTACGTCATCGTTCGTCTTCTTAGATAGACTTGCGGCAACGTTTAAATATTGCGAAGTATCACTTAGATATCGTAATAGATATTGAATTAATATTGTAATAAACGACACAATAGTCACAGCCACGAGATAAGATAGTTACTATCTTGTTATTAATTTTTTTTTACGAGTATTTAAAGATAAACATACATATTATATAAAATATATCTTTCAAATTTGATAACAGAGAAAAATATAAATTTAATTTACCCTTAGTTTACAATTTAAAAGAGGATAAATACGATTGTATGCAGCAATCTTAAATATTACCCTAATCAATAGTATAAACGTGTGATCGATTTTAACCGTTTCTACGTCAAATTCTATCTCGATTCTAAAATTATACAATGCTTGTTATGTAACAGATACATCTTCAAATATCTCTAATTCTAAATTTTTCGTGTTTACGTAAAATTTTCGTGTTAACCGAAATTGAAAAAATAGTTATCAAAATATCCATTTCTTTTAGCTGAGAAATTCATTTAGGAAAAATGTAAATCTTTCCCTCTTTTCGTTTCTCTTATTAAGAAAATTTCATAAAATTCTAAAATTGTTATAAAACTAAATATATTCAATGATATGTTTATAAGAATTAATGTACGACACTTTTTAGCCTCTCCGTTTCTGTTAAAGTTCTATCAAAACACTTTTGATTTTCTCAAAAATCATTTTAAGCCACAAATAGCATTGATTTCTTTAGCATTGATTGAGTAAATACTTTTTTCGACGTCACTTTGATGTAATTTGACAATTAAAATATTTAAATCAAATAAGATATATTAAATCTAACATGACGTATATTTGACTTAAATATTTAAATATTTCAATTAAAGAAATATAAAGAAATAATAATTGGTTGGACGAATTTAGTCAAGTCAACAACTTTTTTTTTCTTAGTGTAGGTAGATCACATACGCGCGAGTACGGCTAAAGAATTATATATTATTATTATAAAATTTTAACATATTGTAAATAGAGGCTTGGAATGTGCGACTTTGACTTTGGCCGCTATTACGAGCCGCCGAAAGCGTCGCGACCTTCAGTCAGTTCAATTCGAACTACTCTCACGGTCGGACGCTCTCGACGTGTCGCGCATTCCGACGCATATTTCGTCGCAAATCTTGTGATAGATGTGCAGGGGAGACACGTGTGACAATCAATATCGATCGAGTAGCTATCAGAACAATGCGAGAGTATCGCGGACGACGATAAAAGAGTAAAAATTTTTCAAATTTGTAGGTGCCGCATCGTCAAGTGTCGTCAGAAGTACATCCGGAAAGCGCGCCAGTAGTACCACGCGGAAAATCGCGCAGTCGCTCGTCGATCGACAAATCGTTCGTCAAGTTGAGTCAAGTTTTTCCGGCAAAAGTAAGTGTGTCGCGAGTGAAAAGTGCATATCGCGTCGCTAGTGTATGCGCGTCGCAATAAGCGAAAATCTCCAAAGATACGTCGATAATTCTCACGGCGGGATTCAAGATTCAAGGTATAATTCGAGGAATTGGACGACCCGTAGATAAGAAGTGAACTTTGCCGCGAATTTCATCGACTCGAGCGATGCCGGAACTAAAATCGCTCCTTTATTCGCAAACGACTTCGAGCAGTGACGTATAAACGTATATATTAATTAAATTATCGAAAATAAACGTCGCGGATAGCATCGGGAATGTCGAAAAAAAGTGTCATCGTATTTACGCGAACTATTTTTTTTTTTCAAATACTCCAGAACATAATTACCTGCGTCGGGTACGCGAAACATGCCGATAATATCACGGTGGATTTGTCGAAACGTGTCCCGATAAATTTATTCTCGAGTGTGCTTTTTTCCGTGTAAATGCCGATACGAGTGTATATTGCGTCAAGAGCGTTGTGCGCGTATTGTGGAATGCTGTGTACGAGAGAATCGACGAGGATAAACAACCCGGTTGTCGCGCGGCCGAGCTAGGACCAGTTCGGGGAATTGGGCGTGCTAGAGGTAAGCGTGAATTTCTTGGAATTGAAACTGGATATCTCTTATCTACGGTTTTCCGTCTGCTTCGCGCAAAATAAATTCTCTGCAGCACTATTCGTACTCTATTTTCTAAACCAAATAAATTATATTGTCGCGTACATTGATTTAATAGATATTTCGAAATGTTTTTTTTTTTGTCTATACATCTGTATATTTTTTCTTAATATTTAATTAAAATAACTTTAAAGTAAGTTTAATTTAAATACTTTTTAAATACTTTTTTTAAACAAATATGAAATTTTATGAATCTAGCAGTGAAACTCGTAAAAAAGAGATTAACAGTGTTGTGTAGGCAACTATATATATATTTATATATTTGCATGTATATATACAATACAAATGTATATATGCAATAGACTTTCTGGCGCTTACAGTTGTATATATATTTAAGTAACGAAATAAAAGAAATATCGCTATAGATACGTGCCGTATATAATATTATACAATTTATATAATATTACACAAATATTAAATATGCAGATATTAAATATCAAAACAGCATTCTTAAAATAAAAATTTAAAAACTAAATATTAAATTAAAAAGCAGATATTTATGAGATTTCAGATTTGATTACGCAGATATAAATATGAAATATTTGTTATTTATGCTAATTAGATAGACAATCAAGGAAATAGTATAACAGAATGGGATAAAATAGTAATAAAGTTAGACGTAATTATTGAGATTTTTCATGCTCATTATTTATAAATATTTCTTACTTATGCTAATTTAGTTAGACAATCAAGGGAATAGTATAACGGAATGGGATAAAATAGTAATAAAGTTAGCCGTAATTATTGAAATTTTTTGTTCGCATTATTTATATATACGGTATGTTTATTGTTACAAAAACATCTACATATTCTTTTTTTCTTTATAATTTAGAACGATCGTAAAATAAATTAAAGAGTTGACTTAAAGTTGTGACTAGTTTCTCATTCCTCAAAAAAAAAAAATTAATTTCTGCGACATCATTATTATACAATCACGGAATATATTGTGCGTATTAATTTTTAATTTATCATATCTTTCAAAATTGATTGGTATACATTTTGATGCTATAATATAAGTCTTGTATTAGCACTAAACAATAAACTAAATAAGATTGCTACACTGATGTATCAGTGCATACATATACATATATCTTTCGGTAAAGTTTTTATACGATTACGCATGTCTACTATGTATTTGTATAAATTATCTATGTGCGCGTTGAGTACAAAATACATTTTTCTTTTTGTACGTATCACCGACGTAAAGCGGGATGTAGTCGATCTGTACAAATTTGACTTGATCGAATATTTGACGAGCAAACACTCTTCAATCTTTGGCAGCTCTAGTTTGTCTTTCCTTCCGCGTTGAGAGATAACATATGCGATCAAGAGAGAGGCAGATCGCTTAATTATATTAACATAATAAATTTCATTATTAGCGGAGATAAAAATTTACTTTGCTTAAATTTTAATTTATCATAAAGTATATTGTTGAATGCAGATAAATTTAATAATTTAAAAATTGTTACAATTTCTCGAATGTAAATTCGTAATCGAAAAGTTTTAAATCTCGAGTATATTTTATGCGGCTTCGTGTAATATATATCGGAAAACTTGTCGAGCATCGAACGAAATATGTACAGACCTCTCGGGCTATAAACTTTATATCCTGAATATATCCCGAGGGAATAACCTACGCTCCTCAAACGTCTATAATACTGTTCCGTTTCTTCTCGACATCCGCGGAATCCAAATCGTTGCCGAGGCTGCCGACACGGCCTCTCAATCCAACACCACCGCCGACTTGACCGGTCGCTTTGAGCTTCTCTTGCATCTGCGCTAGAATATCTTGCATCCTTCGTATCTGCAATAGAATAAAATAGACAAAATAGAAATAGAAATCAGAGCATTTGAAAAACACATTTGTACACAACGACACCCAGAGCGAGACTTCAATCGTATTATCATACTCGAATAAAGCTCATTTATTAAAAGGCGAATCGCGAATGTAAATTGAAAGCGGATAGCACGAGCGCGGTAGATACATATATAAGGAAATATTTCATGACAATAAATTGGAAACATGATCATTTTGAAATACACGTAACGATGTCGCTCCTACCTCTTCGTCCTTCTGTAAAAGGAGCCTGTCGGTGTCGGATATACTGTTCTCGAAATGCGGTCCGGAATCTCTTTTCAGTTTACTGTAAAAAGAAGGAACGAAAAGCGTATTTATCCTCGATTATCTGAAAGGGATACTAATACAAATTATCTATCAAATGCAATCGAAACGTAAGTGACGTGAAAAGAATATCGTGCACTCTTTTATTAGAAAATATCAATTTCATAACATTGTTCAATTTAGTTAGAAGGATTAATGTCAAAATTAATTTCCGATTTAATTAACATACGACGTCAGAATCATCGCAAACTACTAAATAATTAGTAGTTCGAAACTATGACTGGCGGATGCTTTAATAATCATGCAAAGCGTATGGAATGTTCGAAAGCATATCGAACTTTCTTTGAAGAGAACCAACGTATATTCATTACAACACAGAATTCCATTAATATCTTATATTATGACGATAAAAAATGTTCCTGATATTAAATGCGGATTAATACGTTAAAAATAATTATTTTGATCGCGATTACTTTCGAAACATCCTGTACGCATTGCGAACGCACGATAGGCGTCCGTATGTATATACCTACTAAAAAATGCAATATTTATTTACATGCGTAAATACCTCCGTTCCCGGATCGCTTGCTGCGAAATTTGAGAAATACATTGGGCCCGAAAATTCTCGTAGTGAACGTCCTGCGTGACGTCCTTTAGATCCTGCATATGGGTCGATATTAGCATCGTCCTTAGTTTGACGAAGTCACTGTGCTTCGGATTCTCGACTATGATCAACCAGAATCGAGACGTTAAAGATCGATGTATGGGAAAGCGAAAGCCCCAGAGGCACTTTAATGCATTCAACCCCTTCAGCTTTCGAATACGCTAATTGAATCGCCGCTGATTGAATATACTCAGCGAAAGGTTTAAGCTTCAGAGGCTCTTTTACCAATTACGATTTTAATTCCTAACTGCTTTCATTCCGGCTCCGTTCCTACTTGACAATTCGATCAAGAAGCTAGGTATTCCTCTAATAAGAGATATCGAGCGCATTAAAAATCTCTGTGTTCTGAGAATCGACGATTCTTTTGATACTATTGCACCCAAGTGCACTTTCGATTCTTTCGCAAACACTGCTCATTAGCGAGGATTTATTTTATAATGATAATTACATTCTGTATTCTTCGACGATTGAATAAGCAGACGTGAAGCGCCAATTTATTTTCGAAAAATATATAGTGACGTTATGAAAAATTTTTTTTCCGGAATTATACTTACCTCGCAGTGTGGGTGAAATCATTACAATCGAAAAATATAAATTTTACGTAGAATATAAAAGTTCACCTTCCACTACGCCCCACGGATATTGCCGACCGCGGACCTTTCTTCCTGCAACCTCCAGTACTGTCGAGCTCCCGACAACCGCGAACGGTATACAAGCTTTCAGCTCTTTATCCTGTTGCTTGAATTCTTCGTCCTCGTCGCTGTCGCAATCCGGAAATTGATATATCTACGTGCGAAAAATTATTTAAAAGTTATTTTATCGACAAACCGTGTTAAATTATATTGGAGATATTACAAAATTCGCGTTATATTTAAAATCATAATCGAAATATTAAATTTGAAGCTTTGCCACGTTACCTGAATCTCGTGTTCCTCGATATCTGCCAAAATGCGCTCTTTCAATTTTTTCACCTCGTGAGTGGTTAAAGTATCCGCTTTTGCTATCACGGGAACGACGTTAACTTTCCGATGTAAACGCCTCAATACCTCGAGATCAATTTGCCTGAGGCTGCAAAGAGATAGACTTGAAATTAGAGTAATAAAATTGAATCCGTTATATTAAAATTACGTTTAATGTTATCGCGATGCGAGATAATTATTTTTTAACGCGTCGTAACATAAATTAAATATCAAGTTGAGATATATTTTACCACATACCCGTGACCGTATGGTGGTATAAAGTACAGACAACAGTGTACCCTGTTATCCTGAATATTTTTCCTATTTAATCCACTTTCGTCCGTAAAGTACTGGCGAAATTGTTCGTCGATGTAAGCCGAGCATGCTTTCCACGTGTCCTCGCAATTTACCGCATCGCCGAATCCTTGAACAGTACCGTTACTTGTAATATATTTTACAGAATGTATCGCGTATATTTATAAAATTGTATTCTCTACAGAATTAATATCATTATATTTATAAAATTATTATTTACTCACGTGAAATTATTCTCTTTTATTTATAAAATTCAACGTATACTCTCGATATATATATATATATAGAGACGTAGGCGTAATTTGTCTAGTCTAGTCACGGAAAAAGAAAAAGATATAATATGGCGATACTTTTCTCACCTGGCGTGTCTACGATCGTCAAACGGAGCCGAACGCCGCGCTCTTCTATATCCATGGTCTTTTTCTCGATAGAGTTGGTCTTAGCCACGCGCTCTGAAAGTGTACGATGAATATTTATCGACTTCTCGAGATCGGGACGAGCGGTTTACCAACGATGCAAGCTGATCAAATATTTTTCGTGTGTCAATAACTCGTGGAGAGCGCGCGGAAAATATCAGAGAGAGGCGACCATCCGCCCTTAGAGTATACGCCCCCGCCGCGAAGCGGCGATATAATTATTCCGATTACATCATCGGATGCATAATGCTCGATTGAAAGAAGATTGATGACGAGACGATGGTTTTTACTCGGGCGTAAATTATACGAATAAATTAGACGCACCTGCCGCATCCGGAATTCGCCGGTCTTTGTACAGATCCCCGAGAAAGAGGCTGTTTATGAGCGTCGACTTGCCGAGGCCGGTCTCACCCAACACCATCAGGGTGAACTCGAAGCCCCTCTTCACCGATTTTCGGTGCACTTGCTCCGGCAGCGTCGCGAAGCCGATATAATCCCTGTCTTACTGAGCGAAACAAAAGATCATTAATATCGCGACGTCGATATTATATCTCCAGTTAAATCTCTTGGCAGAAATATTAAAGGATTAACAGCGTCGCGCGATTCGATCAAATTCGTATAAAGATATAAAACTCGTGAAAGTTATGTAATCGTGCTGATTGCATTTCGCTCGAAAGCGCGTCCGGTGTCGATAAATGCCGCGTCTCACCCCTGCATAATTTACGTCACAACGAGGAGAGAAGCCGGCTTCTCGATATCAACTCGAAGAGAAACGATATCGCGTCTACTATTGAGAATAAACGATAAATGCCTTTTTTTCTACGTCTTTTTTTTTTTTCTTTCAATAAAACGTTTACGTACCACCGGACATGATAGCAGCATCTAAGGACGCTTCGGTGCGACGACGAGCATAACAGCAGCTAAACCAACAGCCGACCAAACGCACTAAGGCCGAGGGCGGCTCGTGAATGCCTCGGTTCGTCCGGTCGACTTGCGCTGGCGCACTGTCGACCGGCCGATCAATAGTCGGTCGTGCTCTCCTACGAATGCACTCTCTCGCCGGGCTGTGCACGCTCCAAGAGAGAGAGGTTATAAGCCGAACCGGGCGTGTATGGCGCGTGCGGAATAAATAGCAACATTATCAGTGCCCGCTGTCTCGCTAACGGTTGTAACAGACGGAAGAACGGAAATGACACCTCGCTTGACGCGTCCCTGATTATGTTGTCGCTGCTCATACGCATAGCAAATAACACGGTATACTCGTGAAAAAATTATTATTGAATGATCTCTCTCTCGGGAATATAGAAATATCGAAATAGATTGAGCTTTCTGATAAAATATTGACAAAATTGTTATATTATCTTTGGTGATATTTCTTTTTTTCGATGATTTTTAAATTATGACACTTATGAAGAATATATAAATATATATTTAAAAGTATAGATATATATTTATTTATTTTCATGCTGAATGAATTTAATAATTTGCCATGTTGACGTTTTGGCGCAATTTGAGCATTCTGCGAAGAATGCGATAAATTTTCGAATTTTCCGGATTTGTGTCAACAATCGTCCGTAATTATTCGTAATGATCTGCAAAAGCGCTTGATGACGTGAAATTTATTATATACGCGCGCTTTGTCTGACTTTAATCTCAATTAATTAATAATTATCAATTGTTTACCCGTTACTTTGTAGGGATAATAAATTATTCAAGAATTTAAATGATGTGGTCATTCTTGATGCGACGTAAACAGAATTTAATAAAAAACAAATTTATTACAAAACAAAACAATTCAAAGTATAAAAAAAAAGTACAAAACTCGTTTGTTTAAACATTCGCATGAGATTCCGTTCGTCGAGAACCGTTTTCATCGGTCGTCTTTATTTTTTATATACGCCATTGCATCGTTAACGTCGTCCTTGGAACCTAAGAAAATTGGTGATCTCTGATGAATGTTCTCCGGGACGATATCCAGAATATCAATCTTGCCGTTTGTTGCCAGACCACCTGCTTCCTTGATTATAAAAGCCATCGGTACGCACTCGTATAAAAGTCGCAGCTAGAATTACGAAATCACATTAGCATCAATTGCATAATAATTATCGCATCGATTTAATTTCTTGCCAATATATCCGAACGCAAGGATAAAGAGAGTATATATTTAAAATATATGATTATATGCGTATGCACGGTAATAAACGCGCGGAAAAGTTAATTATTGGTAAACATGTTCGCTTTTAAATTATATGACGCCGATGTATGGATAAAAAGTTACAATCGCTTGTTTACCGAAATGGATAACGCGTAAAGTCCGATAATTTTTCACGTATTTACACAAAAATTGAGAGATTACCGTTACATCGAATCAAAGCTGAAACCAGATATTTACCGCATCTAGATAAAATAATTTTCAAAGTCCGATACTCTCTCATACACGTTTATCGGACAGCGTAAACATCTGTTATAAAGCAAAGTTGTTATACAACAAACTGTTTCATTACTCAAGTCGTCCGTAGTGATAAGTATATCCGATAAACGCTGGGTCAGAGGGTGTTTGGTAATAATATCGGGGCGAAAATGAACACTGTCAAAAAAATGTGTAGCGAGATAAATGTAATATCGAGAAAACAGCTATACTGTAATATATTGCGCAATCGTTTTTTCACAATTTATTATATCGGATCTGTTTTCTTAAAGTATTACAAAAGTGACATTAATTTGATAACGTTTGGAAATATTAGAGATTACCTTGCCATTGGGATTGCTCTTGCTCGCGGGATATAGGAAGATACCGCCGTATTTAATCGTTCGGTGTACATCGGCGACCATGGAACCCACGTATCTTGCGCTATAGGGTTTCCCGGTTGTGGGATATTTTTTCGATCGTATATATTCCTTAATAGACGAGTCCCACGTGCTCTCGTTACCTTCGTTAATGCTGTAAATAATTATGCAATTTTTTTTTAATGCGATTCGTGAGAAAAATATAATTTTAAAGTATTATATAAAAACAAACTAATATTCTCAAGCACATATTTCAAATGATTTGTAATTCGCGCAATAGAATTCTACTTATAATTATATGTTTTGTGCAAACAAACGTTTGTATAAAATAGATATGTATACAAAGTATATATCAAGATACACGTACATTGAAATTATAAGTAGATTTCCATCTCTTGAATTTTGTCGGAAATTATAATCTAAATTATAATCTAAATTATAATCTAAAGCGGGCGTTAAATTTTGCACATTTGCATGCGTAAATACGTTGACTATATTTGATTACGTAATTTTTCGAAAATGTGTAGCATCTCTTCCAACGCGAAATCATATGACATATGCGCGATTTCCTTTACACGAAATATCATCTCGCACTTTCCGTTTTTTTTTTTTCCCTTTTTTTCTTGCCTTACCTATATATATTCCCTCTATCAGGCATACGCATGTTTCTCTCGGTCAATATAAATTCTCCGATGGCCGGATCGTACATGAATCCATTAACGCCGCGACCGATCGAGAGCACTATCACGGTCGCCGAGCCGTAAAGAGCGTATCCCGCCGCGACCAAACTCCGTCCCGGTTGCAGGGCAACGGCGGTAGCCTCGGATTGTTCGGGTTTCTTGTAAATTCCAAAGATCGAGCCCACCGAGACGAGGCAATCGATGTTGGACGAGCCGTCGAGCGGGTCGAAGCAAACGATGTACTTGCCGCGCTTCTCCGTCTCCACTTCGATGGCGTGCTGGTTCTCCTCGCTCACGAGCACACACGTGGTGAAGGAGGACGTCAGCATGTTGATGAAGAGCTCGTTGCTCAGAACGTCCAGCTTCTTAACTTCCTCGCCCTGAACGTTGATATTGCCGGCGATACCGTACCTGAGCGAATCGAAATGCGTCGAGCGCGTTTAACAGCTGATTAGTATTCCCGAACGACCATTGTGTGATCAATCGGATTAGTTGTGACAATCGGTTCGATGTAACACACATACACATACACATTGGAATATCTTTCATAATACTTTTAGATAGTATGTGCATGTAAAGTCGTTAAAAAATATAAATTCTTTATTTAAAAAGATATTAAAAGATAATTGATCGAGATAATTATTATGATAGATATCGCGGAGAAGTGTTAAGGGATAAGAATTATTAGTTACATCATCGAAGAATTTGAATAATTTAATTAACGGATACTTGAGGCTTAGTTCATGTCAAATTATTGAGAGCTTGCTTGTCGATGCAAAAGCGACCAGGTATGAAATGGTTTTATTCATGTTGACACAGTAAGCACTATAATAAAGGGAAATCATTTATATGTTATTTATATGCAAGGCTATACAAAATTGTCACGGTATAGAGACTAATGTTTACTGGCGTGTATTGGCAGCTTGAGCACGACGGTAAATGCGAGAAATTACATGCGGCTGCCGAATACATTTGAATAAAATAGTGACGAGCGAACGTTAGCCCCAGTTGACGACGCTATGGAGACTTGGCGCATGCACTATGCAAGACATTAGTCGGCCTGTCCTGCCGCGTGTTAAATTGTAACTCTGTCGCATCAAATGAAAATATAAAATCGCATACACACATATATAGATCACAGTATGAGAAAATTTTGTTTGTATCAGTTGCAGAACGATTTTTCAACGTGGAAAAAAAGTAGAGCTCATCCAAATATATATATAACTTGAATTTATAAATAATTTAAAAAATTGTTAGAAAAAGCAACGCTAGTTAAAAATTTACAAAAAATATAAATTATTAGAGTTGTAACAAATATATATCTTAAATATTTTTTCTCTCTCTCTCTCTCTCTCTCTCTCATGTTTAATATCGTTTAAATTAAAAAGTATTTACTTTATAAAGCAATTTTCCCGGGACATGTACCCTGCTTTTATCTACTCGATTGTATAGAATGTGACGGACGATTCCGCGGCCGCGTTACATTTTTCTCGCTGACGTGTACGACGCTCGGAGCTTTGTCTAACTCACATGTTAGCGATACCAGCCTTCCTCACGGCCGAGCTGACGGCCTTCACGGCAGTCTGTATGCTGTTCAACAGCTGCGTGAGATCGCCGGTCGCCGTCGGCACCTTGCGCTGCTCCGCCAGCACGAATCTCGTCAGCGTCATGCAGTCCGAGTCCATTATGTCTTTTGATGTCATCGCGCGCGCGGTCGAAATGGAGTGGCGGAGAAACCGGTGAGAGGAATCGGGCCTCGGCTCAACGGAGACTGAAATCGGCGGCGCCGAGGCGCCGCGTTATATAAGGCAGGGACTTGTGATTAAACCGGCGCGTTATCGCGAGAGTGAAAGCAACGACGTTATCGAATTTCCCGACTCTTCAACGTCGATTTCCTCTGCCAGATCGGCACGATACACGTGATCGTTTCTCAAAGTGCATTATTAAATAATTGAGATATTATTCTCGATTCGTTTAATAAAAATATTTTTGTTGTTCGATTACAAAGTTTCGTAAATAAATCTGCCGAGTGCAATCGATGAACGGACGTTTGTGTATGTGCGTTGCAGATATTCCGAGAATTAAAACGTGATAGAGTTTATTTTTGAATCAGTTTGCGCGAAATCAATTATTAATCGCGTTGGAAAAATACATCATCATTGATGTTCGCGATTCATGCCTGATTCACTACGCAAATGTTATTTCATGTTACTTCATTAATTCGCTGACGCAAACGCGGTGAATTATATATTTTTGTTACATTTAAACGTAGCCACGAGCGCGTTAGTTAATTGTACATTGGTGATAATGTATTTAAAAAAAAAAATAAGTCCTTTAAAAAACCGATAATCGCGTGAAGTACGTCGCAAATTTGCATTTTATTTTATCCGAGCTCGCTTTTTCCGCGAATTATTTTTTCGGGACATATATTATCTCTGTGTAACGTATTCGGTTTTGTGCAATGTTGTAACTGAAAAGGATACATAAAGAAAATATTCTAGGGTGACACGCGTGCACGCAGCATTATACGACCATATATCACATACGGGAACTAACTAGCATTAAGATTTGTTTCGGCGATTATGTCTTATCTTTCTGTGTGACAAACGTGAGGGTCTCGCGGTGTAACACAATTTTTGTAAAAATAATTTCCTTGCCCTTTCCATATCGCAAAAAAATAAAAAAAAATTCGTGCGCTTACGTACACGGATTTTATTAGAATTCCGATTTATTTGAAAACGTTATTACATACGAATTTCTATTCAAATTAATTTCCGAATTAATTAATTCGCGATAGATCGGACCGGTAGCACCGGAACTTTGTTGCGCGAATGCTGTTATTCTGTGTCGTGCGGTATAATTAAACTAAATGACATATGACGAAATTAACGTCGTAACGACGTTAGATCGATCGAACCGCGTACGCGGTAAATACGTAACGGCAATTTGTGGCTCTTGTGACTATTTTAGGTTTTATGCAAATTATTAACTTTTCCTCTATATAACAATGACTTTATTTAATTTACAAAGGATTTTACGTCAACATTTCGTTACACATGAATGTTTAATGAAATAAGCAGTCTTATCAAGGGTTAATTTGTACGCCGTCGAGAGACGCGAGTTTATATAATCGCTCTTCCACTGCTAAATATTTGTGCTTGCTAAAAATTTGTAGCTTTCACGCTAAAATTGCCGTAAAATGTTGCATTTTATGTCTTTGGTCGGTAAATTAAAATTGTAAGAATCGTACTAGGTTTTGATGGTGTCGTCCTCTTCATCTCGGTTGCCTTTTTCGAAACAGACGCTTGCAAAGTATAGTGACTGTAACGTCATTTTCGGTGTCGACGTTAGTAATTATTTAAAAAAGTGTTGCACGAGACGACGATGGATATTCTGATGGCATTTCGTGAAACCCAGAGCGCGAATCGATCGCCGAAGACTTTTACAAATCGATGAGCTTGAATCGCATCGGCGACCCAAGCCTGTTTAAAAGTAGATTCTCGTATTTAGGCAGTTCGTGATGCCATTCGATTAAAAAATTTCGTATAACCTAGATTAAAAAAAAAAAAAAAAAACACATTTTTATTACGTTTCTCTTTATTATGCTGTTTATCGAGAAAACGACTGAGAAGGATGATACGATCAGAGCGTATTCACAACTTTTCCACTCGAGAACTATGTCGAGAATCAGAGATTAAATTGAAAAGCATGATTCTGAAGCTTGTAATACTCACAAAAGGGTGTGACTCTTAATTTCTGTGCTCAAAAACTATTTTGAAAAATCAAATATTCAACTCGCATATGAAACAGATATTTCGTATTAATAAAATATTTGAGTACGTGTAATACATTTATATATATGTGTTATTTGAAAAAATATATAAATTAAAAATATATTTAAAAATTCGATAATATTCTTCAAAGTTAAATATCTGCACGGGCAACTCGAGAATGAAAATAATTATTTCTGTCAAAATATATACGTGTTATGTCGTTAAACCGTCGAACTGAGTTACGTAATCATACTTTTCAATTTTTTACGAGGAGAGCAACGAGACGTCCAACGGGAATCCGCGAGAATATTTAATCCTCCGGGAATTTATACTTGAGCGCGACATCGTTATTACCATGCACAGTCACGCATAGTCCGATGCACCAAGGGAATCTATTATATAAGCACGTTACCTGTTTCTATTATTATCTTAGCGTACGATATATTTTTGCGCGGGCGCTTCGTTTAAACATCTCAATTTATTAAGGATTTACGCTCAGCGTGTATGAATAAAATATCGTTGGAAAGACGAGCGTAATCGCCTGCGTGTGTACAAGACGAGTGATTGCAAAACAAACGAACGAAAATCGATTTTTCGTGCTAAACCCATTTAAAGAATATTTACATTCGCTTTGGCCGTTTGTACGTGAAAACGAGCAAACAAGTAAAATGCAATAAGAATAACAGAATATTTGATATTTATAACACCTTTCCCTCCGTTTTTCGACAAATCTTAAATAGTGTAGAAAATTATGTTTCTGTGATATGGACAGAGATAATAAACATTCTCTTTGATTTAAGCAAACAAAAAGTAAAAATACACAAAAGCGCAAATAAATCTGTTAGTTATAAAAAGATAAGATCGTTAATTCATTAATAATTACGTTACGTGAAATCTCATTTTATCAACCGAAATCTACAGGATTCCTATCGAAACGTTTTAACTTTGACCGTAAAAATTTGAGTAATAAAATTTTACTTTTGTTTGACGTCATTACCTTCCTAATGAAAGACGCGTTATCGTGAATGGAAATTCGGTTATCGCGATTCGACTGACTGAATCTTGGGGGGCAATTGGACAGGTCGAAAGTTTACTAACTGTCAAGAGCAATGTCTCGAGCTGCATTTCGGCGAATTGTCGGCAGCTGCGAGGACCGAATCCGAAAGGCATATATGCAAAGGGATGCGCCTGCTTGGCTGATGGAAACTCCGTGTTGCTCCGCAACCATCTCTCGGGAATATATTCCTGCGATCGCGGAAATTGCGTAGACTCCATCGTGATTAGTGAATGACAGGTGAGAACACGACATACAAAGAAGGATCATTGAAAGAATGCAATGTTGTTTGTTACATTCGAAGAATGTTTTCTGAACTATCCGACAAAATTTTTACTTATGAATTTTTTATGCAGTTTAAAATCAAATTTTTTTTTTCTTTTTTTGTAGCGAAAATGTCAAGTAGCATTTCTAAATTTTTTCATCATAAAGCTTTCAAAGTTATCTTCAAATTCCTTAAATATTCCAATATGAATATGCACAGACATTAGATAACGATGAAAAAAGAATCATAAACTTTATAACTAAAAATTAGAAAAACCAAAAAAATATAACAGCACGTACTCCTGCTGATATTTTGTATCCTCCTATCCAAACATCTGTTTGCATGGTTTTGAGATTGCCGATAAAAATAGAAAACAGTCGAAGAGACTCCTTGCTGCAGGCTTTAGTGTATCTTGTCTGATTTAGTACTTTATACGTAATATGGATAATGTTTTGTCCGGTAACAGGGACATTATTTCTTCGCGCAATTTTTCCTGTTTTTCTGGATTATTCGCGATATAATATAGCGTAGCGCCGACTGCGTTACCGATCTATAACAAATCGTTACTTAATTTTATGTATATAAGCAGCATTTCGTATAACATATTCCTATAAAGTCAGCATTCCATTTTAAAAATTTCGACACAATGGATGAAATTCTAGCTCTCTCTGAAAAGAAAAATTCTACGTTTTTTTCTACGGAATATAAAAAATAGAAATTTTAAATTATATATAAATTTCATATTTGTTATGTAAAAATTGAGGAAAACCTTCTCTTTCATTCAGAAGCGATTTCAATTTTATTACGATACAGTTTTTCGGAGTAAGAATCGTTTATGGAAGATCAAGCTGTTACACTTGTTTCGATCGTCGACGAATGTTCACTCACCGTATCAATACCAGCCGTCAACATATCGTATCGCCATTACTTGAGCAGTTTGTTTGTCAAGACGTAAAAGTTTCTCCAGGATACTATAGTCATGCAGATTCGTGTCATCGTCCGCTGTTTTGCGAAGCTTCGCCTTAGCCTGTTCGATGTGTTTACTGGCTATTCTAAAAGAGATCGTAAATGAATATGTGCGAATTCTAGAAGAATGCGTTGCCAATTATGATAATGAGAATAATGGATCGCGCATTTTTTTTTTAAACTTTTTATTGTTAATATGCAGGACGGATTATTTATAAGCATTAAGTACATAAATATCAGTGGATTACCGTAGAATATTTTGGAACAATTATTTTACAATAAGTAATTAACGTAGGATAACACACACAAACACAGTACATTGTTGACAATTGACAATGAATTGCTCGCAGCTACGCGATAGAAAATTACCGGAGAAATATGTCGAAAATCACGGTAATGATGATGAAAAGTCAAGTTCTCGAATATTACGCTAACTTAGTAGTACGCTAACGGATATAAGTTTCAATATTTACCTATTAAGTGTATCTTGCATACGGAAGAACTTCTTGAGATTCCGCGTATTGTAAATCTTCCATAGAGACGGCAGAATCTCCAAGCGATACACGAGATTGAATACGTCGTGCACGCAATTAATCATTATTTGCGGTTCCGAATCTGTGACGAGATTAGACTTTAAGCATCCTAGTCGGCAATCCAGCGCGATCGAACATATTGTTATTAATTATATAATGAATGATTTATATTAGAATATAAAATGATGAATTTTTTTAACTTTTAACTACCCTTATTATTTTGTTTAAAAATGCGCATCCGCTTCAATTTAGAGAGTTTCGTATTGAATTGAGAGTACAAACTATTTTATTTATTCTATTGTTACAAATGTGTGTGTGTATATGTGTTTGTGAATTATTATGTATATATTGCATTTTCGCGCGGTTCTCTCTTTTTTTATTTTGATTTTTATAAAACATCTGGTGGTTCATTATACGGCGGTTCGTATACACATATATACTTACATTCTAAAGCTCATTTATACAATTCGTTTCTAAAATCGATCGGCAACTCCAGGGTTTGAGGATCTCGCAACGCTCGCATCTTCTTCACGAACATTGCTTATACCACTAATCTGCGGACATGCGCTTTAATCGCTCGTGGTTGCATCATGTGCGGATTAACTTTTGAACGAAAGTCATGCCACAATTTAACTTGACTAAAAATAATAGAGAGATTTTTTATAGTAGGAGAAGACAGATAATATATATTGTTTGCAATTTACATATAGATCTATGCCGTTAGACCTCCGTGGCAGTTTGTATACTCGCTAGACTATCGACCGACAGGACACAGATAGGAAAGACTAACAAGATAGATGGATGGAAAAAAAGCAGAGAGAGAGAGAGAGAGAGAGAATTAGGACGATGACGAAAACAAGAATCTTTTGCTTAGATGGTTCCTCTTTCCCGTATTTTGACAAATTTTCGTAACATTTGACGGCGTTCGCATTTGACCTTTGATATATCGATCACATGGTGCATCGAGAACGCCTGTATTTATCCGTACTAATCGAAAACCGTAATAGCTGCGTTATTAATCTAATATTTCAACAAGACGTAACTTCTAGAATTGGCCGTATCAGATAATTCTCGTTGAGGTGAAGTCTTGAGTAAAGATATTGCCTCTCGAAAGTTGAGAAGCTTATTTCGCAAAATTACTTTAGATTTTTCAATATTGTGATAATAGACGGCAAGAATAAAAGCAAATAAAGTGAAATTACAGGACTTTTTTTATACGTAGACGTAGAGTATAAGAAAATATCTGCTCACTCATTTACGATCTCCTTCATTCTAGATAATTTATTTAAAGATGTTAGAATATATTTTCACTAAATAATATATTTAGTAGAAATTATTCTTAGTTTGAGGTTTTTTAAATTTTTATTACATATATTTTTTGAGAACTATGAGAGAGAAGATAAATAGGCAAAAATAATGACGTTCAAAAAACGCAAATTTTTTTTAAATATTTTTATTTCTTATAAAAGTGCGCTACACTAATCTGGTTTGCGAGACCGTATTGCTTGTCGTAAATGTGTTCCCTATTTTTGCGATAATGATGCAAACACTCCATTCCAATTCGCATCGGCAAACACCTTCCAACACTCGATACGTCTTCGCGCATAGTTCCGAGGAGAATAATAAGATGCACGCTCGACGGTTCATTACTCCGTCCAGTTTGACGATATCACCATAGCGGTCACGCAGAATCTGTAGTTGTGTTATCACATCGTATGTATCATATTCACCTACATCGTTTTTTATATACATTTATGAATTAAGAGAACGGGGAATAGATCGTGTTTAAACAATCAACATATTTGTTAATCTAATATTTCAACAAGACATAACTTCAATAAATAACAAGATAATATGTGCAGATGCGCGATTATATTGTGTATTAACAAATTCCTCGTTATTTGATATAAATATATGCAGAGTCATATTTTATTGGATTTTGCTTAAATCTCATGTTTAATTCAGAATAAACAGTAATGATGAAAAATTTTTCGGGCTTGCGATGGGAGGAAAAATCTCTTACCTATATATGGTATGAATCTGAACCAATTGCCAAGCAAGGGCAACGCTTTCGGGCCGGGGATATCCTTGATCGGCAGCGTGTGTTGCAGGTCGTTGTTCGCATTTTTCGTTTCACTATGTTCGATAGGACAAACCGCGGCCGATCTTACGCGACGTTGTAATCTCGATAACAAACACAAGCCATTGGTCTCGCAAATGAGAGATCTAGTATGCATCATGTTTTATCGGATATCTCTTGATTTTGTCGTTCTGCAAAATACTCATAGTATGTGTTGCGAATTGAGCGATCTTATAAGATTGTCAATTCAACGCCTTCTATACATGCGGTTACATTTACGTCATCATTTACACAGCGAGATATATGAAACTGTGTCGCTCGATAAATATATCTCGGAATATTAATTTAGACTAGTGGAAAAATATCATGCAAAACGTGGACTTTAAGTTTGAAGATTTTTGTAGAATATTTGAAAATAATATTTTAGCAAGTATTGGTTAATAAATAATTGATTTATTGCAGATACTCATTTATTATTGATACTGACATAGTGCACAGAAAAAGAGAATAAAAAGATGATGATTTGACATCGTCAGGCCCATAAAAGTTTCTCGGATTTTATAAAAGCGTGACATGGATGTTCGAGAAATTTAATACAAAATATATCCATTGCATCACACAACGAACGAAATTAATTTTATATTTCGCTTTTGTTTTGGCTTATCTCTATCATACGAGAAAAATCAGTATCAAAATACAGAATCGTAAACATTTGCATAATATATCATGCACTCGTGTAACGCAGTATCAAATTGGAACAAAGCACATTTGGAATCCAGCGCAATCTTTTACTAAAATCCTTTGAATCCGTGTATCTTCTTTCTGGAAATTGGACGATCTTCGACGTGTCTTTTCCGATCGGGATCTTTTTCGTATCGAACTAGAATTGGCGATTTTGCGATTTTTATAGTAAAGATAAATGTTAAATATATATTAAGAATATAATACGCAAAAAATATTTGCGCGATATAATTTTTTATTATCGCAATAATAATTTTGTGAGGGAAATACGCGATAGCTTTGTATGATTAAGTAACGAGTGACGTGCTTGCTCGATACAATTGCGCCTGAACTGCAAACGTAGGAATCTCGAGGGTTTCCTCACTTAATACAATGAAAATACGACGATAAATGCGATCGACTCGTACAAAGAAATATAACGCGAGTTATATTTACCGCGATTGCAATAAATGCACTGAAGATTTTTTGCTTAATAGAATAACGTTGCTAATAGCAGTAGCTAATCGGTGTGATCGATCCTGTACAGTAGGTAAACAATTAGAAACGGACAAATTCGTTACATTTCTATTCGCTCTCGACTGTTTACATCCATGAGTCTCGACACTTTTGCAATCGAACGGAGAGGAAAAAACAAAGAGAGAGAGAGAGAATTTCTAAAAACTCGGAAAATACGATAAAATACTAAAAGAATTAATTAAAAGTTATAATTAAACATAGCTAGGCTTAAATAAAGCGCAAGATTATTTCTCTCAAAGGTTGTCATATAATTATTATGATAGAAATATTAACTGGGAAAGAGAGAAAGACGGCAATATATTTATTTGCCGGCAGGTTTGTGACTAAACTTGAATAATATGAGTTTAGATTAATCTAAAAATTCTAGAGAATATAGAAATTAGTCACTGAGAATCTAAACTTTTTAGTAATATCGAGGCAGGTTTTTTCTTTTTCCTTTTCTTCTTTTTTATATCAATACATACGAAAAGTAAGTAATCGAGTTTTCGTAGATATTACAAAAGGTAGGGAACAATATCATAAATATTTCCATTATACATTTGCAACGCGTCTTAATACGATATCAATTCTCAATAATAATGGAAATGTCGTAGCCTATGAATGTAAGTGATTTTCGCGTGCATTTAGAAGAAATAATACTGAATGTATTTTTAATATCGTTGCATTCGAATTTCTCGGAGAGAAAATTAATTCATTTTTCGCAGATAATAATTATATATATATATATATACATATATCTAGTTTATTTTTATTTATATTATGTGGTTTATATTAATGAATTAATATTGAATTAAGCTAAATGGCACATATGATGAAATTAGCTTCGTAACAACGTTAAGATCGAATTGCACGCGCCTAAATAACGGCAATTTATGGTCTTTGTATGCAGCCTGGTATACACATTATATTTTTCGTCGCAAATTATTTTCTTCAATAACAAAGATTTTATTCAATTTATTAAAGTGACATCACATACGGACGGTGGATACTTAATAAAATCAAACAGCATTTATTATTAAATATTTTTTTATTATTGTTTTAACATTACAGTAATACGTATAAGATTAAAATATATCTTTCCACAATTTTGAGTAAAATAAATATATAAAATAAATAAATGTCAATGTTTAGTAAAATAAAAATTTCAACTTATGTAAAATGTATAACTTTATATCTCTCTGCTATTTTTGTACCATTTAAATATGGACATATTCGTTTTACCACAAGCTCTCTAAAAAGAGTCGTCTCTACGTTAAATTCCTATGAAATATCGTGCTTTTTGTCGTCTTTGGACGTAGATTAAAAATTGTAAGAATTACATAGTCATATATACGATGTTTTCTTTATCTCGGTCGGCTCCTTCGGATGTCGGATGCCCGCAAGCACGATTGTAGCGTTATTTATATACTGGCGCTTATAATTAAAAAAAAATTGCACAACGTCGTTAAGAAAGATTGACGATTCTTACTGAGAAACACGAAGCGTGAATCGAATGTAGTAGATTCGAGACGATTTACAAATCGATGAGCTTGAATCGCATCGGCGACGCGAGCGTGTTTATATATCGGCTTTCGTACTTCAGCGGTTCGTGATGCCATTCGATCCGGAAATTTCGTATGACCTAGATAAAACAAACGCGCTTTTAGTATGTTCCTTTTGCTGTTTGCCGCGTGCGACGAAAACGATTGGGAGTGCAAGCAACGCGTTTTCTCGTACTTTTCCGTCCGAGAACCATCTCAAGAATCAGCGATTTAATTGAAAAGTGTGATTCCGAAAGTCGTAATACTCGCTAGGAGATTGCTTTTAATTTCTGTTCCAAAACTTTGCGAAAAATCAAACGTATAACTCACATATAAAACTAATGTCTAACAATGAAAACAGAATAAAATATTTGAATATACATGATTTATATAGGTATACGTTTGTACGTGCGTTTGAAATATAAATTTAAAATATATTTAAAGCAAAATTTAAGAAATATTTCGAAAACAAATATTTATACAAGTCTTAATGAGAGTGAAAATAGCTATTCGCGCAAAGATACATGCATATTAACATCAATTTGCGGCGCCGAGTTGCGGAATCATACTCTTTAATTATTTACGAGGAGAATAACGGCGTCAACGAGAATTCGCGAGAATATTTAATCTTTCGGGAATTCAGATACTTGAGTGTGACATCGTTATTTCATTGCCATGCATTGTCACGCATAGTCCGATATGCTTCATGGGAATCTGCATATTATGCAAGCACATTGTCCGTTTCAGTTATTATCTTTGCATACGATATACTTTTCCGCGCGCGCATACGCGTTTAAACCTCTCAATTTATTAAACATCTACGCTTAGCATGTATGAATAAAACATCGTTGGAAAGAAGAGCGTAGTTTTCCGCGCAAGACGAAGGAATGGATTGGAAACAATCCGACAAAAATCGGGTTTTCCGCACTACATTCATTTAAAGGATGTTTACATTTATTCTCCGGCCGGCTATGAGTACGCGTATGTGTATGAAAACATGTGAACAAGTACATAAAATGCAAGAAGAATAACAAAATATCGGATGCTCGTACTAACTTTTTCTCGATAAATCTTGAACAATATAGCAAAAGAAAATCAAATCCTTAGTAAAGGAATAAATGTATTAATTTAGAGAAATAAAATAAAAGGAGAAGCAAATAGATTTGTTAATAAGGTGATGATTAATTCGCTAACTGATTGATAGTTATATAATTTCATCTCTCGTCAATTGACGCTCAAGGGCGAAAATGTAGGCACAGTCGTAGAGATTTTAAGACATTTTTTATCGACGCCATTATCCTCCAGATAAACGATGCGAATAAAAATTTAGTTATTTTGGGGATCTCTGATTGACTGGATTTCGGGAACAATCGAATCGTCAGCAGAATAAAAGTTTACGAACTGTCAAGAGCAATGTCTCAAGTTCCATCTCGGCGAATCGTCGGCCGGCGCATGAGCGAGGTCCAAATCCGAAGGGCATATACGCAAAAGGATGCGCCTTCTGGGCTGATGGAAACTCTGTGTTGCCTCGCATCCATCTCTCGGGAATGTATTCTTGCGGTCGCGGAAACTGCGTAGGTTCCATCGTGATCAATGAATGACAGGCGAGGACATTCATCTAATAACATACCAAAGAAGAAAATTTCGTTATTATATAAACTGTTACGCGACATGCTCGACAAGACTTTATTCGCAAATTCTTTTTATACGCGATCTAAAATAAGATTTCTCTTAGCAAGAATGTTGAATGATAGTTTCGAATTTTTTCAAATAAGAGAATACGCGGGCATCGACATTTTAAAAAATTGATATAAGAAATCTTAAATTGTATAATTAAATGATAAGAAATATGAGAATTGAAAAGCGGCAAGTACTCCTTCTGGTATCTTGTATCCTCCAATGCAAACATCCGTTGGCATAGTTCTGAGATTGCCGATAGCAACAGGAAACAATCGAAGAGATTCCTTGACGCAGGCCTTGCCGTATCTGAACTGTTGTAGAACATCGTGCGTAATAGGTGACGTTTTGTCCGGTAATATAGACATCACTTCTTCTCGCAGCTTTTCTTGTTTCTCCGGATTATTCGCGATGTAATACAGCAAGCCGCCGGCTATGTTACCGGTCTGTAACAGATCATTAGTTCTGCATAATCTCCAACGCGATTATGTAAGCAGGTTATCGTCTGCGAAGTTAATATTTCATTATTAGAATGTCGATTTCATGCGGGCATTTCTCCAGCTCTTTTCAAAAAATACAATATTCTCGATATTTACAAAAAAGAACTGCGATAATTGATTGGAAAAAATAGACATATGAAGATATATAGAATATGTTTAAGAAATGTCCCAGTGGCCGGACGTTTAAGCGTAGGTCGTCACAAATAATACAATTTATAATATTAGAAAGATTTTTAATATAAATATTTGCATTCAATCGAAAGCTTAAGATTCCCTTAAGCAAAAATTATTTGAACCCATATACAATATATCAATTATTAATTAAATATTTACATAAATAATGAACGCGTCAATGTATCAGTGGCCGGACAGCTGAAATAGGTTACGGCCCAGTGGCCTTTGACACTTTTTTAATGACTTTTTCTATTCCCATAAAATATTTTTTCTTCTATTTGTATCATTTTCAGCTTTCTCTGTTTTCTTTTCTTTAATTTCTTTAATTTTTTTACAGTCTTTTTTGTTCTCGCTTTTTCTTTTTATCTTTTTTTATTATTATTTGCACATACGTCCGGCGAATGGGACCATTGGTATTTTTAATGTACCAGTCTCCGAACGCTCAAAAATATCGTTTTAATTGTGATTTTTATGATGAATTTCGTCAAAGAGAGTTTCTAATTAATTTTTGAAATTAGATATTCAATTATTTATTCACAAATATAATTAAATATCCAATTTTCATACTATTTAATTAGATGCTTACGTTTAACGAATTTGTTAACGATTGGCCATCATTTTGCCTAACTTTAGACACACGCTTATTTAATCAATTTCTTTTAATACAAAAATTTTAAATTAAGTTTATTTTTTTTCCCCAATTAATCGTCAAATGTTGGAGTTTTTTTTTACAATAATTATATTATTTTCATTCATAATTGTTCAAATAAATGGTAAATATTTTTTTTCAATGTGGTCGGATATTGGGACATGTCCGGCCATTGGGACATTTTACTTGTTCGTTACGCAGAAAAAAATTGGTAAATTCTTTTTTTTAATTTTAGTCAAGATTTATTATTATTTCATTACTTTATTGCACAAAGAATAATTCGTGAATGGTAAACTGTTAAAATTATTTCGATCGTCGACAAATGTCAAAGTTAGATTCTCGTACTTACCGAATCAATACCAGCTGTCAGCATATCGAGTGCCATAACGCGAGCTACTTGTTCATCAAGACGCAAGAGTTTTTGCAATAAACTATGATTATGCGAATTTGCATCATTATCCGTTGTTTCGTCAAGCTTCATCTTAGCCTGATCGATGTATTTAATAGCAATTCTAAAAGAAATCGTCAATGATAATGATCGATTTCTAGTCGAACACGATGCCTTTAAAACTCGTCATCATTAATGCGCAGGAAGCGCATGCACAAAACGTATACTAGTATAACAGCGGTGTGACATGGGACTATTAATCGTCATTCTACAAAAAGTAATTACGGACGACACACGATTCATTATTGATAACGAGCTACTCGCAGCTTCGCGACACGAAAACGCCAGAGAAATATATAGAGGATTACGGTAATGACGATGAAAAGTTCGCGTATTCGCAGGAGTTTGCGAGTAATACGCTGACTTGGTGTAATATAACGAGTATAAGTTTCAATATTTACCCATTAAGCGTATCTATCGCATGGAAGAACTCCTTGAGATTCCGCGTATTATACAGCCTCCACAGAGACGGCAGAACATCCAAGCGGTACATAAGATCGAACATTTTATGCACGCTATTAATCATTATTTGCTGTTCTGAGTCTGCGGCGAGATTAGACTTTAAGCATCCTAGTCGGCAATCCAGCGCGATCGAACATATTGCTGTTAATTACATAATGACAGATTATTGTTTGATGATTGACAAGAGAGATTGACATAATATTACAACAGAGATAGCGGCGCATTTTTAAGTTATACGCTCTTGTCGGTATCGTTTACAAATGCATCGCGATCCACTCGTATATTTGCAGAGTGAATTGCGAGTGCAAACTACTTTATCAATTCTATTGTTACAAGCGAGTTTTATATATATGTGCATACATTTTATTCCCGCGATATTCCATCTCCATTTTCAAAGAGGAGCATAAAACATTGGCGGCGTAAAAGTACCCCTATCTGGGATACCAAACTCACATTCTAAGGCCCATTTGCACAATTCGTTCTTAAAATCGTCGGGCAACTCTAAGGTTTTAGGATCCCGTAATGTTCGCATCTTTTTCACGAATTCGTCGGCCACTTCGCTGATTTGCGTAACGTACGTCGTGATCGATTGCGGTTGCATCATGTACGGATTGATTTTCGTGCGAAAGTCGTGCCACGCTTTGCCCTGGCTGAAAGTAGGAGAAAGCCCTTTTTAGCGGGAGAGGCGACGGTACATCGTACGCAATTTACGCGGGCCTATGCGTTTGATCTCCGTGGTTCTGTATACTTGCTGAAACTATCGACCGTATAGGAGACAGGCAAGAGTGACCAGCGCGAGAGAGGGAGAAGGAGAGAGAGAGAGGGTGTGTTAGCGTCGACGAGAACAAGAGTTGCTTCGTCAGCTCGTGTCCTCGTATTTTGACGAATTTTCGAGATATCGATTCGTGTTCTAATTGAAAACCAAATATATGATAGTTAATCGAGCATTATTAATCTAACATTTCAGCAAGACATAATTTACGGAATCATCCGTAAATGAATTGTAATATTAAATAAGCAAACGATATCCCGTCTTAGAAACTGAAGAGAGATTGCTTCGCAAAATTACTTACACTTTACGTTCTTATATTTTATGATAACCGACTGTGAAAATAAAAACATGCGGATGAATGAATAAATTAATCAGTCATGTATAAAAAATGGAAATTCTTCTTTTTTAAAGCGCGCTACCAACCTTGTTCCGAGACCGTATTGCCCGTTGTAGATATTTTTTCTATTCTCGCGATAATAATGCATACTCTCCATGCTAATCCGCATCGGCCACATGCCTTCTATTCGATACATCTTCTCGCATAGTTCCGGTGAGAATAATAAGATAGTCGTTTGATGACCTGGTATACCGTCCAATTTGACGATGTCGCCGTATTGATCACGCATCATCCGAAATTGCAATGTTATATTGTATATACCGTATTCACCTATATCGTTTTTTATTCGAATTAATAGAGCGAGAAAAGATATTGCGTTTAAACAATTGGCACATTTTTTTAAATAGATGACAAGGTAATATGCAGATGTAGAGAATTATATTAAGTAATTCTCTCATTAATATTATTTTAGATATATTATTTTGTTTTATCCAATTTTCGTTAAACTTTATATTCTAATCTGAGCCGGAAAAAATAATTCAGAGATAAAAAGAGATAAAAAAAAAAAATAAATAAATAAAAGATAAAAAGTTCTCGAGTTTATATTAATGAGATGAGAGATATTTTACCTATATGTGGTATGAATCTGAACCAATTGCCAAGCAAAGGCAACGCTTTCGGGCCGGGAATATCCTTGGTCGGCTTTGCGTACTGCAGTTCGTTGTCCACATTCTTCGTTTCGCTATGTTCCATATAGGCCATCGTCGATTTTGCGCGATGTTTCCATAACAAACGCGAGTCATTAATCTCGCGAATGAGAAATCTAGCAAGCATCATGCTTTATCGGAATCTTAATCTTGTCGTTTTGCGATATATCTGTAAATATTCGTCACCGCTGATGTCGCTGAACAATACTGCAATATTATTGATTTAACGTATTTAATATATGTGCAGTTAGTGGTTATTTATAGCAAGAGGACGAAACTATGTCATTCGATAAATATATGACTCGGAATATTAGTTTAGACTAATGGAAAAATATCGGGAACCACGCGTGGAATTTATAAGACGGACACACACACAGGCACACGAATAATGTTTGCAGCGCATGCGCGCGATGTCGAACTTTTCCTAATATACACGTCCTAGTTGTGAAAAATGAAAGACCAACATTGAAATTTTAATCTTGAGTAAGAGATTAAAATACGGTGGTGGAAAGTCTTCCCACTTGGAAATATATTTCTCTGCGATAGAAATGTTAATTCGTTGATTGATGCACGTAGAATTTTTTTTTCGAAATTCTCAACAAATGCATTACAACTAGGACATAACGTACATAATTTTAATTATTTTTATATTAATTTGAAATGTTATAAATTAATAACACGAAGCCTTATATTTATTTAAGAAATTATAGAAGTTCAGCAAATATAGAAAAATAACATATTTTTAATATTGCGAAAAATTTTTATTTAAAGAAAGAGAGAGAAATATATTTTTTAGAAATATATTAAATATAAATTTTTTTAATAAT